GAGCCTCCATAAACCCTGGCTGCTGGCAGAATAGTCAGCTACTGTTATATACTGTGGCTGTTTTTGGGTAGGGGGTGTCTCACAGAATCAATGTGAAGTCTATTTATATTGATATTCTAAGGGGTTTTCTTCTGGGCTATTTGTCCCATTAGTTGATTGCGACAGTTGAAGATGACAGGCAGCAAAGGAACTCTGTCTACCAGTGAGCTACCTGGCACCCCAATAATCCATGTTTAGCATATTCCTGGTCAGATTATTTTCTGGAAGTTCTAGTTGTAGTATCGTCTGTGAAAAGAACATACAGGGACAAAAATCACATTTGTATCAAAGACAGCACAGATCAAATGGTGTAGTTGATTTCAGACCAGGACACTGAACCTACGTGCTATTTTCTTGGTTTAACTAGTTGGTAAATTGCCATAGATTCTAGGAATTGATCATTGCTGCTTTTTCTTGCTCTGCTGCACTGAGATGAAACATTACGGTATCTCTATTTCTCTCCTCCTTTCTGTTTGTCTTACCTCTCTTTTTACTTGATACAGCACAGCAGGGTTATCAAATCCTCATGACAGTAGTGTAGGTACGGAAGCTGCATAGACCACCAGTCAAACTTTTAGTCAAAGTTTGGGGTCTAGACAAGTATTGCTAATGAGTAAATATCTGTATCTATAAATCTGTGTACTCATTGCAATCTGTTTAGTAACACTTAATGGTAAAGCTTTCAAACTGTAGGATTGCTATGAGATAGAAGAATACACTCTGTATTGAAATTATAGGACGAAATCACTAATCATGTGACATTGTTGACCGGTTGCAGAAAATTGAGTATCAGTTGGCTGTTTAAAACAGTTGTGCAAAACGTCTAACTAGCTTGGTAATGAGCTTGTGCAGATTTGGCTGTGAAAACATGACATTTTCTGTTCCTTCACTAGTATTTCAGTTAAAACACTTATCCTTTAGAATAAAGTGTGAGATATGAGGTGAGACACTGTAAAATTGAGAATTTAAAGATGAGCCACATGCTGTGACTGGTATTTGAAAGTGACAGAGAAGTATTAGCTGTCTGAGAGCTTCCTGCTTTATTGGTAATCATTACTGAATGGCTCCTGGAAAGAGATGGGAACTGTCTGCTCCTTCATCGAACAAAATTAGTATGGAGTGACTAAGAGCACATTCCCTGTGTGCTGTTCTTTCGAGCAACAACAGCAAACTGCCATGTTGAAGGCTGGTAATAAAAAATGGATGTACTTCACAAAAAAACTGGCATATGTGACTGACGGGCTTTATCTGTCTGTGATGAATTATGTTTGTATCTTTTCGAAGACAGTAGATTTCTTTTGTTCTTCCTTTTATACAGACTTATCTAGACTTTCTCCTTGTTCTCCCCTGTGTGTTTCGAGTATACATAAGCACAGATCTCTAGCTGTTTATATCTATACATAAGTGTGTAGATATGTGTGTGTCGAGGCACTTCAGTGTACCAAACCTATCATTTTTACTTCTTGTATCTTCTCTTTGCTAGGGTTGCCCTTCCTCCCTGGAGAGCACAGTGGTTGCTGTGATTTTTATAGTGATGTAAGATGCATTTATTTGTGCTTGTGTATGTGATAATATTTTACCAGTGATGTTATTTATAGAGGTCTACTACAACAGAACATGAACAATTGTAATCAAACTGTAGAGCTGTAAAAATGTGTACATGTGTTTGCACCTAGTCTGGAGGGTAAGAGGTTGAAAACTAAAGCTGCTGGGGACTTTGTTATGGAGAGTACATGGCAGATCAGGTTTATGTCCCCTTAAGTTAATTGCAGGTAACACCCGAGTAACAATATCACACTGCCAAGTTTAAGTCTGGTAATAAAAAATTGATTAGTACTTCACAAAATTAGGGGCATGTATTGAACGTTCAGTGACTTTTCTTACGCAATAATTGTGTTTTTATGTGGAAATAATAATAATAACCCTGCAATATGGCTTCACCAGTGCATGTACGCATCCACTCCCCAGCTCCCCAACCAACTCCTATTAGTGTGATTGATATGTGTTTCTGTGTTAGTGGCTTATAACTTCCTACGACAGTTTATTGGTTTCAGGCAGGTTGTCATGCTGTTGCAGACAGAGCTGACTGCCAGAGAAGCCTATGCATGCATAAAACAACATTTTGCCGCATACATCTTGTACAGTCTGACAAAACAGCTGCGTTTGTGTTTCTAAAGAGGTTGAGTGATTTATTGTTTTTGCTCACTAAATCTTTTTTCATTAATTAATATATACTATTATCAAGGATGATTTTATTGGTCTTTTCTACCACCCACCAATGTTTTATGGAGTGTGATGGTATGATTTACAATATTATATGTTTTTATTTTACATAGTTTTTTTGTTTTACACTTTTTATGAGAGCAATGTTTTACCTACTGCTGTGTGCATTATGTGCCCCCTAATTTTGTTGTCTGCTTCACACCACATAACCTGTTATTATACAATAAAAAAAGTACATTTTCCGTATCATGAATAACAACAGTATGATAAGACATGAGGGACAGTAGTCACATTCATATGTATATTAAACCTGGCAGATGAATAGATTAAATGCAGACAGACTGGGGTACTATTTCCTTTTTCCACTTCTTTTACATTTTTCCACTTCACTTCTTAATTTCACACACACAAGCATTTATGATTGATGAGAGGATTTAAGCCCACCAGTGAACCTCCAGTGTACCACACCTGTCATTTATACTTCTTGGCTAGGGATGCCCTTCCTCCATGAAGAGGACAGTGGTTGCTGTGCATACACAAGCTTGGATGATGAATCAAAATGAAAATGCAAAATATCTATGTCCGTCTACTTAAAGTAATAGATAGTGAGTGCACAGGTTGAAATAAAATTACCTGCACTTATGTCTGTACCAGCTGAAGGCTTTTTCACAATATTTTGTCCGTGGTTGGTAGGTGACAGGGAGTTTTTGATCAATATAGGAAGAAACAGAAAAAAATCTGAGCAATTTTGGAAATGGAAACTTATGTTGGTGGGCATGGAATTCAAGTTAAATAGAGGTCTGTTATTTAGGATTGTATTAAAATTTATAATAGTAGAGGTTGATTCCTCTCTACGACAGCTTGTTATTTTTAATAGTGTTATTAAAATATTGTTTTGATGGCAAATGATTGGTCTTTTGAAAATAACAATCTGATGATTGTGTTTAGTCACTCCACCAGCTCTGCACAGAGCTTTGACTTTTTAATCTGATGAACAGTCAATATGTTGTGGCGACTTGGACATAATGATGTTTGTGACTTTGCACGTGTGTGTATTTATGTGTGCGTGTGTTGCATAGGGAGAAAGGTAGCTACAGGAAGAAAATATTATGTTTTCTAAGACCCTTACCAAATCAGATAAAACAAAGCCTTTTTATCACCCTTTTGTTTAGTTGGCAATAAAACACACATCACATCGAGCTGATCAGTGGCAAATCATCCCTGAGCCTCTTCAAGGCATTATACACACAAACACACACTCACAAACTCAATGCTCTTCCCACTCATGTGTACATTGGCTGCCAGCACTGTCTTTGTTTCCTATCACCATAACAACTGCCTCGCAGAACATCTACAAAAAAAGAAAAAGCTGTAGTGAATTTATCTGACTCAGTTTGACTTGGAGATGGCGAGAGTAGCGGTCGGCAGCTCCTTGCAGCATGTCGGTGCGGTGTGTGTGAACAAGAGGCAGGCTTGTACAGGCAAGCGTGCTGCAGATGACTTGGTGTAAAGGGAAAGGGGGTGTGCGATGTGAAATTCGGATGGTGTTGTAGAGGGTGACTTACCAGAACGAGGGATATACAGTCTATGATGCCGCACATGGTGAGTGTCAAAACGGCTGCTGCATTCTGTTCGCATTCTTGCATGTGAATGTACATGTTTGTATGTATGTGTTTAAGTTGTTACATTTTGTGTGCTAAATAATTTAGTTGTGTTAAATGTGTGTGTGTGTGTGTGTGTGTGTGTGTGTCTGGAGGCTTTTGCACATGAGGATGAAATCTTTAGAGAGTGCAGTAATAATGAAAGTTCTGTGTGAAGCTCATTTGGAAGACTGCACACATTGTGTAATGAAATCCTCAAGATACATATTAGGTATGTTATATATTCATCCAGGTTTTCATAGTTTTTTTTAAATGTTAAGTATTAAATTATAATTAAACTATGGTGTAGTGAATTTGTTTTAATAATTCATGTTTTACTTGCTGTCTTTCGTAAATACAGTAAATAGTCATCCTGGGCTATAATGTTATGTTTCAGATAGTCTAAGATAGATTCTTCAGGCTATACTAATCTATTATGAAATGTTAGTGCTGGTACTTTGCTCATAGCTTCATTTTTCACTCTATACTCTAAAGGCTTACACGCATCCACAGAGGTGATGAATATTTTTAATCATAAGTCACAGAGGAAATTAAGAGTATTTCTGTGTGTGTGTGTGTGTGTGTGTGTGTGTGTGTGTGTGTGTGTGTGTGTGTGTGTGTGTGTGTGTGTGAGTGTGTGTATTAGGATTTTGCTGGGTAGGACTTCCATGTGGGTTTGTGCATGTGTCTCTGCTTGTTTTATTAAAATAGTATTAAACATCAACGTAAGACCCAAGGATTTAAAGCTCTCAGACACTGTACAATATTATAACCATTATTTTTTATCACAAAATGGGACGTTAGCCTCGGGATCTCATTTTCTTGACACTAAACGTCTTTGAGTGTTACTTTACAGCCCTTTCCCTGTCTTTTTTGGTCCGTCCCATTATAGCTTATATATCTACTGCACATGGTCCATTTGCTTGGCATGACAGAGCAGAAATAAACCTTCAAACATACGAGGAGAGAGCAGCGACTTTAGCTTTCATCTGTACTGCATTATTAAACGTCCCTATCCATATGAGTCTTACATCGCCCAATCACAGCTGTCTCTTCCTCTTCTTCCCCTCTCCCCATTCCCTTGTCTCCCTCCATTAGGCAAACTTGAAGAAGTTCATGGAGTATGTGCAGCAGAGGAACATTGAAAAGGTCTCAAGGTTTCTGGAAAAAGGCCTGGACCCCAACTTCCACGATCCAGACACAGGAGGTAAGGAAGTTTGTGTTATCCCATTCCTTCCCTGCTCTACTTAACTAATTGTCTTTTTTTCAACCTTGATTTGTCTTCACTTGTGCTTTCTCTCTCTCTGTCTCCACAAAATGACCATGTATGGATTTTCTGAAATAAGCCTTCTGCATTTCTAGGCAAAGCTGGATTACTCTCTTTGCTAAGCTCCTCACATTTATGCAAATGTTTGTCCAGCCATAAAGGAGATTTCCCTGTTGGGTGACCTGTAACCTGACTGAGGAGCTGTGAAGCGAGGGATACATGAGAATAGGTTGGTTTAACACCAACAGGAAGCAGCCACTTATGCAGACCAGAGGGTGACAATCACGACAGCCAAAGCAGTTATCCAAATGCAAAATCTGTAAAACATCTGACTGTTGTGGGACATTTTGTCATCAAATATGTATTTATTTATTGATATACAGTTTAAAATGTTCATTTTCTAAGAAGAATGCACAATAATGTCACTGGAAATTCTAATGATAATGTTTTTTTGATATTGTTTCACCCTTGGGTTTTACAGAATGTCCTCTAACACTGGCAGCACAGCTGGAGGGATGTGCAGAGCTCATCAAGGTGCTGAAGAGTGGAGGGGCACATCTGGACTTCAGAACAAAAGATGGCATTACTGCCCTACACAAGGCCGTGCGCAGCAAGAACCACACAGCGCTTATAGTGAATATAACACACAAACACACACACACACACACACACACACACACACACACACACACACACACACATACATACAATCATACCAGAAAGCTGACTCATCTCTTTTATTTCTTTTGCTACACCAATTGCCTGCTTACAAACTTTCCCTCTGGGAAAGAAGAGTTTGCAGGCAGGCAATCTGTGGCAGAGGGTGCTTGAGCAATTGAGTACAGAGGGTGCTTGAGCAATTACTAAATATATGAGGCTTAACATGCCCTCTTTGAATGGGCTGGCATATTCACTAAATGGCCTTGCATGTGTCTGGTTTGAGGAGGCTTGTAACCTAAATGAGAGGGTTTACGTGAGTCATATAATTGATTTCTTGTTGAACCATTGGAATTGGTTATTTCCGCTAAGGCATAGTCATTGTCCACATTCAAAGCACTTTAAAAACTTAAAGTCTATGGAAGGAAATATTTTGTCCCACAGAACAGGAATGCTCATAATAATTGATCAGTACCACTGACTGAATAATTACTTTGCTGAGGTTCCTGAATTTTTTCTTCAGGCATGTGTGTGTATGTAATATAGCCCTATGTACAGTCCTGCTCACCATTATTGTCACCCCTTCATTTTTTTGCATAACTTCTACAATATCTTCAGGAATAAATAAAAATGTACCAAATTTATATCATCAGGATCTTTTAATTGGCGGTCCAAAGTAATTTAACAAAGAAAATTGTTTTTTCAGCTTACACATTGTAATTTCAAAGAAGAAACAGAAAAAACAGCATGTGCAGCAATAATGGCACCCCTCTTTAATATTTGGTTGCACACCCGTTGGCAGTGATGACTTTGCCTCCAAATGTTTCTTGTAGCAATCTATAAGCTTCTTGCACTCCTCAGCTGGTATTTTCTCCCACTCTCTTTGCAAATTGTTCAAGCTCTTGAACGTTTGCATGTTTCTTTTCCCCATGGCAGATTTCAGCTCATACCAAAGATTTTCAATCGGATTGAGATCAGGACTCATTGCTGGCCATTTTAAAACAGTCCATTTTTTCCTTTTTAACCATTCCTGTGTGCTTTTGGATGTGTGCTTTGGGTCTTTGTCTTGCTGGAGGACCCATGATCTTCGACTCAAACCAAGTTTTCTTACACTGGGTAGTAGGGCTGCAGCTATCGAATATTTTGGTAATCGAGTATTCTATCGAATATTCCATCGATTAATCGAGTAATCGGATAAAACACACTTTTGCTTAATTAAAGCCCAATTTTAAATATACAATAGAAAACAAGACAGATCACTTAATAATAAAAACAATTTGTTTCCTATTTAAGAAAAATTTACATTTATTTATTATTATACATATATACAAGTAGTAAACCGTTTCAAATTTCCAATATAAATAATTAAAATTACTTCATTCAAATTGACTTGACATTTCCTAGACATAAAATTAAACAAAAATAAAATAAAAATGTTGTCCAAATGTACACACACCACGATGTTGTCCTTAATTTTTAATTTAAAATGATCCCACACCTTCGACATCTTCTAATTAGTTACTCAGCAAAGTAACTGACGTTATTTTTATGTTCTATAATGCTATTACATTTTATAACATCTTCTATAAAGTAAAATATGTTTATAATAACTGAATGAAGAATAAAAACACTATATACAGTATTTTAGAACATTTGGTATTTATTTGAACTCAATAGATTGCAGCCGGCCATATGCATAGAAATAATGGACAGGGGTAGCATGTTTTCAACAACAAACCTTGCAATCAATGTGTTCAGCTCGGCCCTAGTCGCCACCTGTTACTGACCGGAAAAATCAAGCGTTGCTTGTTTTAACGGAGTGGCTCCGTCTCCTTCGCTGGAGCTCAGGCTAGCTGCATCTGGGCTTGAGGTTGGGTTAGCAGCAGCAACAAGTGGCGTGTTAGCATGTGTCGCTGTGAGGTGCTTCATAAGATTTGAGTTGCTTGAGGCAGACGTCGATAAAGTCTTTTTTCCTGGGCACAGTGCATGTTACATAAACATTCTTGCCTTTAACTTCAGTAAGCGAGAAGTAGTGTCGGTACTTCCAGTTTGATATTGCTACCTTTGAATTTCCCTGGCTCGTCGCCATTGTCTCTGTCTTATGTTTATAGTAGTTAGAGTGTGCAGTGAGACAGCGTGAGCAGGGCATCCGCCCACCCAGCCCATCATCATCGCATTTGCAACGGTGTCATCATCACCACCCTGCCCTCTCCTGGCAGCTGATGTGTGGCTGTTCATTGCGCCGTCTGTAAACAAACTGTCGGTGTGCATTGCCAAAAAGCTCTATTTTTGTTTCATCTGTTCACATGAACATTTTCCCAGGAGGATTGTGGTTTGTCCAGGTACTCTTCGGCAAAGATTAGTCGTTCCTTTTTATGTCTTTTCCTCAGCAATGGTGTCTTCCTTGGCCTTCGCCCATGAAGCCCTGTTTGGTTTAGTGTGCGGCTTATGGTACTTGTTGAAACCATGACCCCAGACTGTTCCAGGTTGGCCTTCAGGTCTTTGGATGTTTGACGTGGTGTTTTGTCCACCATTCGCACCAACCTTCGAAGACTTCTCTCATCAATTTTTCTCCTCCCCCCACGTCCAGGGAGGTTCTTGACAGTTCCATGCTTGGCAAACTTCTTAATAACATTACGCACTGTTGAAACAGCGATACCAAGGTCTTTGGAGATGGCCTTATATCCTTTGGAGGTCTTGTGTTTGCTAATTATCGCACTTCTGATGTCCTCAGACAGCTCCTTTGTCTTCACCATTGTGACAAAGGAACAGGGGATAACAGATCTCTTGAAAACACGGAAGTCATCATTCACTGGCTAATTCATGTCAGACAATTTATCACAGGTGATTCTCATTTGTGATTTACCACAGGTGAGTCACAATGTGTTTCCATACTGATTTACAGCAAAGGGTGCCAATACCAGTGACACAGCAAGCTTTAAGTTTTTCTATTTTTTCCTCCCATTGTTTATTGTTTTAAATTGTTCATCATTTGCTCTTTTGTATCAAACACGAGTTCTCTATAGAACAGAAATGTTTCACTTGATTAATTTTTTTTCAGAAGATATTCCACATTATGTACTTAAACTTCATGGGTGCAAATAATGGTGAGCAGGACTGTACTAGATGCAACAGATACTGGGGGCTGTATGAAGTAGTTTAAGCGTTATTCCCACCCTGACCTTCTTCTTTTCCCACTAGACACTGTTGGACTTGGGTGCATCACCTGACTATAAAGACAGCAGAGGGTTGACTCCTCTCTACCACAGCTCAATGGTTGGAGGAGACCCCTACTGCTGTGAGCTGCTGCTACATGATCATGCACAGGTTGGCTGTGTGGATGAAAATGGCTGGCAGGAGATACACCAGGTACTACACACTCACTCTCTCTCTCTCTCACACACACACACACACACACACACACACACACACACACACACACTCAGATACGCAAACGCAAACACACAAACACACAGAACAGTGATGGGTTGTGTGCAGAATATAAATGCAGGTGCAGGGTAAGAGGTCTGGTTTTCAGTTTCATTGCATTGATTTTTGTGTTTTCCTCAGTTTGAGAATCTCTTTTGTGGTGGCCAAACCCCTTAGGGGGGTCATGTGCTGGTGAGAAGCTCCAGCTAGGGAAAGAAGTTTTTTTCCACTCTAAAGGACTGGATATTCACCATTTTGGAAGACTTTTCCATCTGCACTTTTCTCTACATTTCCAAACCGAAGAAATAAACTATTTAGTTATTTCTACAAATGTATTCTTAAATTAATTTTGTATTTGGAAAACCACGACTGACATTCATTCATTAATACCCACAAAGTTACTCATTCTACTGTTACTGCAGGTGTATCTAATCCAGTGCCTGGCAGTTAAAGTAGTGGTGTATGTCTGTGTTAATTGTGGAAATAGGTTCTTTACTTACGAAGAGCAAACACTGCAAACTCTGTAAACATAATGGAGGCTAGTGCCTGCATGCTCTTTTTTGTTTGTTTCAGTGCTTTTTAGCTTATATCTCAGTAGTGACAGAAAGAAGAGGTCTGAAGGTTCTTGTGCTGTTAATGGAACCGAACATTTCTGTTTCTTTTATGGAGTAGTGCAGAGGAAATGTTGAATGGTAACATTTGTAATGAGAGTATGGGAATCAAGCTAATGCTAAACACTTCACACCCTCTCAAGTCTTCTCTGGAAAATGTGCCATCAATATTTTTATAATAATTGATTACATCACACATTCTTTTTACTATTTTATCTGTTTCTGTAAATAAAATAAATATTAAATACTAAATAAGTGAGTAGCAGAAGAAAAGATAGTCACGCTACACTATGAGCCTATGAGTACACTATGAGTAGATCATCTCAACGTCTTGCTGTTAGGTTATGTTGAAGTAATAATGAGCAAGATTAAAAGTTGACAAGTAGTTTTTGTCTCTTTTCTGAACTGAAAAATGAATTAGTTTTTATTAGAGTATAGTTATTGGTGAACTACTGTAACCCTTGTGTTGTAGAGTGTTTCATTGAACATGCCAGTATGATGGAAACTCACACCGAGGCACATTGGTTCAAAGGTACTGTACTGGAAGACAATTGGCCTCATTCAAGGAGCAGTCAAATGCATAGATTTTCTGCATTGCTAATTTACTGAGATGTTTCAGTAGTTACTATGAAAATTCTCTTACTCTGCATTCAGCTGCCTCTGGGTTTTTATGCAGGTCCCTGCAGGTCCAGTATCATCTTCTGTTGCACCCAACAATGTCTGCATCACCTACTGTAGGCTAAACTATTCTGTCATCTACTATCTCCGTGACTAATGTCCCCTTGACCATCTTCAATATGAGTCATGGACTACTTTGCTTTAGAGAGGCATTTTGTTTGCAATTTGTGTAGCCTTAACCAATCCTTCTTTGTTTGTCACAGTATACCGCTGCTCTTATGACACGTCATTGAAAATATTCTAAACAACAAAGTGGTCTAACACAACTACTGACAACTAAATTAAATTTGGATTTGTTTGCATATTTCTGACAGCAGGACTTGAAGCTCCGCAGTGAAACTCTTCTTTTTACCGTTGTATGACATTTTTGTGAATGAAACCTGCCCACACACACACAGAGCAGAGCAGATGGCCTTATATGGGAATTTTAAGGGAGTTTGTTATGCCAATGATCGAATCTCATGAACGTGCACATCCTCATGAACAGAAGATTTTACGACAACTTTGTGCAGTTAAGAGAGTTCTGTGAATGTGAGTAGGAACAGAGAATTAAAAGTTATTTTTGGAAAAACTACAAAAATATTTTTGCACGAGGCAACTGATAGCTCTCTGGTGTGTTGTCTGTGGGCTTCTTAGAACAGTGGTGCTGTTTCCATCACCAGCATATCTGTCCTCCATTCTGTTCCCTAAAGAAAGCGTGTTCAAATATGACTGTAGAGAGCAATGAAGACATACACTGACGGAAAGGAAACTATGAGGAGTTGTGTTTTTTATACAATCCAATAGCCTTACACATTTTCTCCCTATTACATTTCTTTAACCTTCTCATCTTGTCTGCTTTTTTCTGTGTCCTTTTCAGCATTGGTATTCTAGTGGTATATATCGTGTACAATAGGATACACTGCTGAAGGTCTGATAACCAACAACAATCCCAGCATCATTTGTGCGCTGCCTCACTGCTGTCACACACTCTTAGCGAGACAGAACACAGGAGAGAGAAAACAATTGCTGGGGAGAGTTGGTGTGCTTCTTGTCAATGACACAGGACAAAACCATGGAGTAGGGAGGGAGAGAGGACATTTTGATTAGATGAAACGTTTTTTTGCTCACGGTTATGTGAAACAAAGAAGCTGAAGAAGCTGACAGCCACAGGTGATACAAACAATGTTTTCTCTTGCTTAACTTGAGTGAGGAGAATTAGTCCAAGGAAAAACACCATGAAAAAATTGAATAGTTCTTAACATTTTTGAGGTTTCCATGTTTTTGTTTTAGAGGGGTACCTTTTGTGTGTGATTGTTGTGGTATAATTTTTCTTGCCTCAATGGATCTTGATTGATGTCTATCTCACTTAAACTTTTAGCTATCTGACTATAGTGAGAGACCACAAACTACTGCCGAAGGAACCCAGAATAGTGACACAGAATTGACAGTTCCACTCCACGTGCAATATTTATTTGCATCACACAGGATACAAGCGAACCGAGTTGTCCCAGGATACAACTGACTTGAACAAAGAAAATCACATTATTATATGCCTCTTTCCCAAAGAATTTGGCCTGCGGCTGATGGCCCATGTGAATACATAAGGATGAACATGAAATACTGTGCTGTTTTCATGTAAAAATTAACATGGAATAACACAACATAATACTGTTTGCTTCTTGTTCACATAACCTTATCCTTGAATGCATTTTCCCACATGAGCATATTCAGGCAGAGACAGAGGGAGGTGCAGCCTAACTCTTGATTGTGTATGCAGCATCAACAATGTGTTTTTTACTTATTTGACACACCCATTACATCTCAAAATCCAGTGTGAGACATTTGTCACGCTTTTACATACATCATTTCTTGTTCCTCTTCAGTACAACAAATATCACTGTAAAATATGCTGTTCTACTCATGTACAGTCGACTCATAGACATTGTGCTTTCTTCGTAAGTAAACAAGGGTTAATTTTGTAAAAAGAGTAAAGTTGTGAATTTGTCCTTTCAGGCATGCCGCTATGGCCACGTGCAACACCTGGAACACCTGCTGTTCTACGGAGCTGACATGAGTGCCCAGAATGCATCTGGAAACACTGCCCTGCATGTGTGTGCTCTCTACAACCAGGTACCAGTTATTTAAAATACATATTATTGTGTGCTTGGGAAGTTGTAGTTGCTTAAACTTAACCATACAGTTTTGTATGAATAATGACCCAAAAGCACTGAAATTGTTGAGTATCAGTGTTCTGTGGGTTGTTGGGGTTGACATGTCTGTATCTAAATTGGGCATTATGTAAATATGCAAGCGTGTACGTTTTTGTCTTTTTGCTTGTTGAAGAGACGATGTGCTGCAGCATTGAACATGGTGGGGCATCAGTGTCTTGCTCAAGGACACTTATGCAATGCAGAGACTTGTTACTGCATAGGGCCTTTTGATTTGAATCACCATTCATGCCGTGCTTCGCCACTGTACGTTTGTGTGTGTTTGCACGCACATGCACACTTGTGTGTACTTGAGTGACAGTCTGAAGCAGAGGTATCCTCTACTTGGTTATTATTTCCACTGTATTTGTTGCCTGTTGTGATAATGGACTGAAAGAGGAGATTGAAGAGAAGTGGTTCAGGTGGGAGTGTGGCACCAAAATGGCCAAAGATCAGGGATATTTCTCCCAAGTGGGTTGTCCTCACTGCACATTAATGCACTTTGTCAGCTGCAACTTGGATGATAGCAGCAAACTGTTTATGCTATAGTTTTGTTGTTGTTTGTCGATTTTTCGATCAGACTGAAATCCGTGCCAGACTGGGACTGTGTGCAGTTTTACAGGGAAATCTTTAAGGACCAAAGACCACCTTTGATTTTTTATACTATAGTGACAACCTCAAACTCTCTGAGTAGACAATCAGGTTCTTACCTTGGTCTCCATTTACAATCATTTTTGCACAGCATATTTTAAAAGATAAAGCTGGCATTTTTTATCAGTTATTTTGCTCTGACACAAAAGAAACTATAGTGTCTGTGTTGGTAGTAATGATAATTAATGTCACCCAGTGCAACACTGACTGTTTTTAATAGTTTTAAGACAACAATATATGTCTATGGTACAGAGGAATATGCTATATCAGGCTTTCACTAGACAGGCAGTACTTTTTTATGGGATTGATTCATGTTCATTTTTATATCATTGGTTGGTCGAGTGTTGGGAGTTTTCCGATCAGCTGTTGTTCTCTCAAATAAAATAGGCGTGAACATTAGGGAATGTACTTTGAGTTACCAGCTTCCCATCCAGCCTGCAGAATGGCCTCTGATGAAAGTATTGCAATGTTTCATTATTTTCAGTATTACAAACTAGGAAACACTGTCTAGCCACATACTAGGTTTCCATCTAGTCTTGTCATATGATTTGTTGGTCATAAGAAAAATATAGAACATTTCCTACTTTATCCTTTGTTATTTTCTATGATTTCCACAACAATCAGCATCAGCTTGATTCCTCTGAGGGAAATTGTTTGTGCATATCTAGTGGTGGTAGTATTTGTATCACGCACTATGTGGTATATTGAGAAACTTAAATAGTTAGTAGCAGCTTAAAAACTAATATGATTTTACGTTTTCTTACGAGGTTGTAACAGGAAAAAAATAAATGCAGTGTATCGCTTAGATATGAATGAATGTGTTCCATATCAGAAGAGGAGCAGGAGGACATTGGTAGATGAGGGCAGTGAAAACCAGCATACTCCTGGGAAAATGATGAGTGTTGTTAGGTACAATATGCCCATGCGCCACATTGTCCTGTTTGGTTAGAGGTTGCTGAAGAGAAACATGTAACTGGGCATGCTGGAAGAGGCTTTTCTGCTGCTTCATTGGGAAATAGAGAGTAGTGCTCGGTTCATGAACATTAGATGAGCACATTACCCCTCTCTCTCTCTTTCTCTTTTGCATACAAACAAATGAAAAATGTGTGCATGCGTGTATGTGTGTGTTTGTGTGTTGTAATTGTAACTGTGTACTGCTTCACTTATTCCAGTCATGAGGACTGACCTGCTTCAACTGGACTGGAACAGCATGGAGGAAGAGAGAGAGAGTGTGTGTCAGAATGGGTTTGGGAATCACAGCATCAAAACTTAATACAAGCTGCTCCTAACACATCCATGTGACTGAAGTCATTACATGTTCCATTTCTCAGAGGAGGAAGAGGTTGTGTGTGTGTGTGTGTGTGTGTGTGTGTGTGTGTGTGTGTGTGTGTGTGTGTGTGTGTGTGTGTGTGTGTGTGTGTGTGTGTGTGAAATGGATGAATAGGTTAATTTACAGTTAGTTGTACAACTTCTAAGTCTACAGTCTGGTAATGAACCCTGTCCCAGCCCTTGTGTGCTCTCACTGCTAAGGATGGCTGTTATCCTGCCAGTGGAGGCTGAACACCATGTTGAGTTGATTGATCCCAGAAACAATGTCTCTTAGCTGGGTTCCAGCAGACTTGAAACAGGCCTGGCTCAGGTGATTATGTACCATTACAAAAAGAAATAGGTTGGTAGAATTGACTGTGAAACTAGCAGTCCAGTGGAAAAGATCAATATATCCATATGGGAAGAGAGAAAAGAGAGAGTTTCAGAAAGAGGGACAGATGGACGACGGTGGGAGAGGGTGGATAAATGACCACATAACATAATCGGCAACATAATAAGCTTGATCGGTGGGCTGACAATCCCAAACCAGGGGTCTGGTTGGGCTATTAACATTTACTGACCAGGCTTTTAGCTTGGCAGATGTGATTAGCAGCAGTGAATGGATGCTTGGCAGGGGTATTTTACCTGGCAGACAGATTCATGGGAGGTGGTTGGAGGAATGAGTGAGAAAGGACACAGTAGGAAATCGCAAGTGGTGACAACACTGATGAGCAAAATTAAAGCAAGGTGGCGCAAGACACACGCAGAACTGCCCAAACCAGTCAGATCAATGACATCTTGGGACAAAAGTATAGTAAGCTGTATATCCGAAGCATCACTGTATTTCATGCTACACTACTTACATTATGCTGTTGTTGTGCACAATAATGAGGAAGAATTCAGCTCTCATTTAAAACGTTTGTGCCTTAAATCATGCATCTTTAGTGCTTTAGATGTTAGTCACAATTCAATGTAAAAACAAGCTCTACATTCAGTTTATGGATGCCAAATCTGCTCCCTCAATTCTAATGAGAGAAGGAATCCTCAAATGTATAAACATGGCTGTGAGAGGTACCATCTGTCACATTCTTTACACATGACTGACCCGCGTCATTACTGTCAAGTACTTGACTTAGCTAAATGTGTATTCCTATGAAGTTCATGTAATCACATGTAGCAAACCATAGTGAGGACTACTGGAATACTTTTTTTTAATGAATTCCTATAGGAAGCCTGGGAGAGAAAAGCAAGACAGATGGCCCAAACTGTAATTGGCCTCCATGTGTCTGTGTTTGCTATGCAACTGTGCAAAAGACTGTGGAATGCCTCTAAAAGGCACACATTCAAAAATTCAGTTCTCAAACCTTCATTGATTTGTTTATATAAAGGACAAGTGTGTAACATTTGGGATGATCTATTGGCAATGGAATATAATCATGTTTTTATTTGTGTATAATCACCTAAATATAGGAATTGTTGTTTTCATTACCTTAGAAGGTCCGAGGGTAGCTTTATTATCCCAAAAAGGCAATTTGTTGTACAGTCAGCAGTATATGTACAACCAGCATCACCATCAGACAACAAACAATAGGCAACACAACAATGAAACCATAAATGCATAAATACAATACAAAAATCACAGAAAGTTATTCAAAAGGCCGGTTGCCATAGAACAAGATGTTTTTATCTACAGATGCTGCGGGTCGTCTTCCATGAAGGCCACCATGTTGAACTGCCATGTTTCTACAGTCGCCCAGAACGGACACATGAAACACTGGCTGTAAATATGGACTAAACTGACGGTTTTTGCAAGTTTTGCATCCACCATAGTTTCTCCTACACACTTCACATCCTGTTATCATTCCTAGGTCATCAAAAACAGATGTGAGCAGTGTTCAGTTAGTTGCAATCTGAAACTTCCCCGCTTGATGTCACTAAAAACTACACACTGGTCTTTTTTAAGAAGGGAACACGTCTTAAACATCGACACCAGACGGCACAATAAAGCAAGGTTAACATCTTGTAACCTGCATGTAAATTGTGAGATTCATGTGAGCCAGATGGACTCATTTGGATGAAAACATTTATATTATTATTACAGCTTATGTTTTGTCTGCAAATATACCCAACCAACTTAAAATCAGTCTCTACACTACTCTGCTAATGGCTTAAAGGAAAGCTTTTGGCTGCTTTTGGAAGACAGATATCCATTACTGTCCAATAGCGCATTCACTGGGGTATTGTGTGCTCCCAGTATTATGTTTGTGTGATGTGGCTCTCTCCTCCCTGGTATACTTGACAACAAGACAATAAACTGCCTGTCAGAGTCAGACCTGCAGGTTGTGCTCTCCTCACATCAACATTAAGCTTACATTTCCTAATAAAATGCCTGCAATATTTTTGGGGTTTTATTGTTTATCCATGTACACCTTTTAAATATATGCTAATTTTAATTCTGAAGAAATTGAAGGAAAGAATTCAAAGAAATACATTTAACAAATTAGCATATTAAATTTTTATCTGTACATTTGCAGAGAACCTGTTGGCTTTTATACTAAGTGACTGAGCCTATATTATTTAACTTAATGTTAATATAATGTAGTAATAATAATAATAATAATATAATAATAATGTAATAATAATAATAATAATAATAATAATAATAATAATATAATAATAATATTATAACATAATATAATTTTGGGTTGGGTGGGCTTTTTTGTTTTTTGCTTTCAGTACTATGGACAGCGCCACATCTTCTATTTAGTAGTGTAGTGTTTTCACTACTATTCCACTTCCACCCCCACCTCCAAATATGGTTAATGAGCTTTCTCGATATATGTGCAAGGTTAGGTGTGTAGGCGCTTGTCCTGTTCATGTGAACATCACATGTATATGGAACGACAACCGGCAACGCAACAGCTACGCTGTACAATGCCTGTGTCTCTATTACGAGTCTGTGTATATTGTTGGTGTGCATTCAGATGTTTGGACAGTTCATAGACGTAGGTGCTAGTGAGGCATTCAATATGAGTTGGTTGATTAATTTGACAACCCATACACACACATAAATATACACATGTGGGACTTTCGGTAAATAATCACACGACTGTGCTTGTGTGTGTGTCTTCCACATTCACCCCCCATATGTATGTATGTGCGCATGTATGTGCGTGTGAGTCCGTGTGTGTGTGCATTGTGCATGCAATTGCATAATGTATGGGTGGTTAGCAATTACCTAAGCTAACAGTGTAGGTGTTTATCTAATATAGGTTTAGTGGCTCTATGGGTTATTAGCAGCAAGAGTAATAATGCGTTATTCATAACACCTGTTCTGTCTACAAATAACCCCATCTCTTCAGCATCTATGTTTACATGGACTTCATGTTCATGTAGGTTTTCTGTGTCCCAGTTGACACCATGCTGTTTATACACCCTGCTCACTTCAGGGCAGAGTCGGGGATAGTACCCACGTAGCTACAATCTATGTGTTTTACCAGAAGAGGGTGCTCTAATGCATCAGTCTTAACCTCATAGAGTAGTATACACTGATCCGAACACTGACTGGTGACGTGAATAACACTGATTACCTCATTATCATGGCACCAGTCAGTTGGTGGGAGATATTAGGCAGCAAGTGAACATTTTGTTCTCAAGTTGATGTGTTAGAAGCAGGAAAAATGGGCAGCGTGAGGATTTGAGCGACTTTGAGAGGGCCAAATTGTGATGGCTAGACGACTGGGTCAGAGCATCTCCAAAACTGCAGCTCTTGTGGGGTGTTCCTCTCTGCAGTGGTCAGTACCTATCATCAAAAGTGGTTCAAGGAACAAAAAGCTGTGAACCGGAGACAGGGTCATGGGGGGGCCAAGGTTCATTGATGCACACAGGGAGCGAATGACCAGGGTGCCGAGGTGGCTGATCGTTGTATCAAGTGGTTTGTCAGATATAACACATTTGATGAGTAAAATCACAATATTATTAATATTAACTGAACCATATGTTTAATTAATCTGTGCGTGCATGTCCTTGGATGTGTGACAGAGTCACCAGAGTCATTCTGCAGATGGTACGCTAGTCCTGTTAATTCTGCTATGTGTTAAATTACATATTGATCCTCACCCAGCCAGCACATGGACACATAACCATGTCTGTCAATCTACAATTGGGCTGTTTTTTGCCAGAGGGGCCTGTGCTCATTTACACACAAAAAATATGGCAATAGTCTGACACACAAGAGACACAATGTATGGTTGTGAAGTAATGATGTTTGTTTTGTGCTTTTTCTAATGTGTGTCTAACAAATTTTCAGTTAAGATATTTTATATGTTCAGGAATGTGCAAAATATCGACCAGGGAATGTGAAAACGTTGCAGTATGAAGTTAAAAAAATATGTATATTGGAGAAAGATAATGATCCAAAAGATGTACTGTTCAGTTCTCTCATTTTTTACAGTGCTGTGCAACAGCTGCTATATAACTTCAAGGTTGCTTTGCTTTGGGTGAAATGTTTGCATATTGGTATTACATGCTGTAAATACATTGTTTTCACCAATGCCAGTTGTACAGTGGCCGAGAGGTATCAGCGAATTTCAAAAGCCATGTACCATGGTAACGGTGAAAACATAAGGACACTGAGTAACATAATTTGTAACAATATTGCATAGCAATAGTAATCACAACGTTTCACTTAATCTCGGCCACTGTACAGTTGGAATGGGATTTATGTCTTTATGTAGATTCCCAGCTGTAGTAGGTATGATGTCCTTCCATTACTGGCTTATCTGCAGTCTGCCCCACAGTGACTTCTCATGCGATTCTCCAGTCTTGGATTTTCTCCAAGTGTAATAAGCTTGTAATCAGTACACCTGGCCTGAGATCAGTTGTGTAGTTTGTGCACCCTTCATTCAATTCAACATGACAAAACCAAAAGTGGGCTTTTAAAGGCCAGGTCCTAGGAGCATGATGTTTGACATCACAAATAGTTTGGAAGTCAATCCAGGTCCAATTTGCAATTTATACGTGATGTAAAAACTTTAAGCTGCCAGTGCACATACACTGATAATGGACTTTACAGTGGAGTAAGAGATATATTGTGTCCAACTTTAAACATAACCAGCAATCACTTCTAGTACAACACTGCTGTTCTCCTGGATCTTCTTAAAACTTGGGTTGGTATTGGTGACACTCTGCTCTTCAGTGGTCAAACCTACATAGTCTTATGTTAGGTTGTGGAGTCAACCACATGCACAGCACAAGGGTTTCTTAAGGGCTTAAGTTCTCATACTTGCAGATACTTGTTTCTTTTGGAGGTGACTTTTGCACATCCCCAATAATTGTATTTAACCGTTTAAAACCAAGTCATGTCCACCAAATACTAAGGTTTTTTTCAAACTAGTTTGTAATCATTTAATCCTGCCTCTGTAGCAGCTTGTTGTCCATTTTTTCACCTTCTCTTTCTTTTGAGCATTTACACATCCATTTTTTTTTAGCAAAATAGGTAAATATTTGTGAATTTCTGTCAGTGATATTGCTATTAATAGCTGCAGTAGCTGACACAAAGGAAGTTGATTTGATTCTTTAGGTGCACTTTTTCTGATGTGACATTTAAAATCCTGTCTATACTCATAGCCAAAATCTATTTCATGGCACATAACTTATATTTTGTATACCACCCACCTTTTTAATAGAGAGACCAATTAGAAACTTGGAAATGGCACCCACAGGAGCTCCATACGTGTGTGTGTGTGTGTGGGGGGGGGGGGGTGTCTGTGTTTTGTTGCATATGGTAAGATCAAATACAGTGACATTTAATAGACCTAGCCAAATACATACTTCTCTCTTGTCATTCAGGATAGCTGTGCACGAGTTCTCCTGTTCCGGGGGGCCAATAAAGAGATAAAGAACTACAACAGCCAGACCGCCTTTCAGGTACGTGTGGTATCCACTGCATGTTACTGTGTGAATTATCACACCTGGCATCTTTGGCATGTCAGAGCTGAATGGATTGAATGACTTGTCTTACACAGCCTAATGCTGCCTCATTGAATATGTTGATTGCTACTTAAAACGTATGCAGTGTAACTGCCCCCACCCCCACACGCTCTGTGTCTGAATTCCGGCCTTTCTAATTGTTGAAGTCCGTGTGAAATTGACACTGGCACAGATTTCTGGTGCGGATCAAAGTTAATTTGTTTGTACACAAGGCAGGCTGATAGATTTTACACATCTGCCACAGCAAAGGACAAAAGAGTGAGTGAGAGGAAAAAAATGGATGTATTTATGTTTATTTATTATTGTGAGTTGTTTTTTTTTATTCCATAGGTTCAAAATTACCTGTTTCATATTCCATCACTTATGTTTTTATCCCTTTCTCCTTTCCCTGCCGTCCTCTCTTTTCCCCTCCTTTAGGTGGCTATTATAGCAGGAAACTTTGATCTGGCTGAAATCATAAAGGTCCACAAAGTATCAGATGTTGGTAAGTTGACAGAAGTGGTCGTTTATTACCAGGCTCGCTCAGTGTTATATATATTTAAACATGAATGTAAGTCAGTAAGTCAGCCTGAAGAATGGCTAAGCATGGACAGTGGAGAATCTAAAGGATTACAGATTATACACAGAGGTGTGGGGAAATCAAGGAAAGGAGAAGGAAATGTATAGAATGTGGAGAGGGTTTCGTGGGTATATTGGATCCCATGTTGAGTGGAGTTTACCTGTGACATTAACAAACAGGAAAACTCTGCCATCTAGTGTGGACAGGGTGTAATACCCCACTTTCTGCATTGTGACATAGTGTTATTTATGTGTTTAATCTCTTTTAACAATAAACAGGTTAAAATAGGAATTACGTGTAATATTTGGATTTAATGGCTCGTTCATTATTAATGATAATTGTGCCAACTATAGATACACTTTACACAGCCAAGTGCTGGTAATGTATGTGTGAACTTAAACACACACTGTTAATTATTTTAGCAAGCTTAAATTTTTTATTATGAGAATATATAATTCACAGTTACAAAAAAAATCTAGTAAAGCAATTATCAAAGATCTTTTACAGTTTTCCTTATTTTGCATTTGGTCCTTTGTTCTTCAGTCATCAGTAATAAAATATGATGATTGATAAGCTTGATAAGAAAACCTACTTGAATATCAGTGCCACCCAGTATTCTGTTAATTCTGCTTGCTACAGTAGCTTCATATGACATGGTGAGTCTGTTAAGAGATGCTCCAGGCATGAATGTGTCTCTCTTGTCTCTCAGTGCCTTTCAGGGAGACCCCCTCCTACACCAACCGTCGACGCACGTTGCCTGGCCCCCTGCCCTCACCACGTTCCTTGCTCCGCTCTGCGAGTGACAACAACCTGAATGGGGACCACGATCACATCCACAGTCAGGCCCCCAGAGAAATCCGTGGCCGTCAGGGTCACTCGCCTGTTCCCTCACTGCGTAGTCTGCCAGCTCTTGGGCAGCAGCACAGCAGCCTTGGAGAGGTAAGATAGAGCTAGTGAGGCTGTGCAGGTGAATTTTTTTAGATGTGTGTTCTCACATTTTAGCATGAAATTGGGAGTAGACAAACCAGCAAATGGTCCATATGTTACACAAAGACGATTGCAATGTTTTACAAGTGCACTTGATACTAATTTCTTTATCTACTCTGTGTCAGAGCCGTCATGGAGAGATTCCCGACAGCAGTCTCCAGAGCACAGGGAGCTCCAGATCCTCCCATTCCCGCTCTCCTTCGCTACATCACATGCATGAAGAAGACAAGCCAGTTCCCAGAAGGTCCCACAGCCATGGCTACCCTCATGGGCATGGTCATCGTGGAAGACTCAGGTCTGTAAGATTTGCTTTGACCTTGGTATGAGTGATTACTCAACTAAACACATTTTTAGAGAGCTTTTTAAACAGACAAATCTCTTTCTTCCTGTTGCTTATTCACGTCTCACACTTACAATCTTGGCAGCTATTCACTTTAAATCGATAATCTGTGATTTCCTTGTGATTATGCACTTTAATTATTTAAACCAAAATTCAGAAAGCAAAAAGCCCCATGTGATGGGTCTGAATCACTTGTTAGTCACCAGACGGCATTCTGCATCTTATTCCATCTGCTACCGTCTGCTACTGGTGATAAACATGACATAACATCAATCAGTGCAAAATCTTAATTTATTCATACATCAATCCCAGGCACATATGACAGTCTTTTTCCTGTTTAACTGTACTTGCAACCTGCCCTGTTGGGTCATCTATTTAAAACATAACTGGGAATTTAATCAGTATGGTAATACATTTATATCAGATTTATAGTGACTGATTGAAATACTGGTCAGTATGAGGTCTGTTAAAATTGCATTTGGTGTAGTTGTTGTGTGGCCTGTGCCCCTGTCCGGATATGAAGGCAATGATCAGTGGAATGGTGTGTGGCACAGACAACAGCCCTATATATGTAACAGGCTAGGATGAAATGCACCATTTGTCCTGCTGGGAGGACAGAGGGCAAATAACATACTTACAATCTGTGTGTTTGTCTCTGTGTTCCTATTTGTGAACGTGTATGTACAACCACTTGCACAGTGCTATGGGCATGGGTGCTTGCACAGTTCAGGGATAGACAGATGGAAAGCGGCTAATAATGATCACCGTGGGGACCAATTGAAGGCTGCCAAGCTGTGAATGTGTATCAGTTTGTGTGATAGAGATTGAGAGACTGAGGATACATTCTGAAATTAGACCTATGAGTAATGTCATTGGACGGGCCTCTCAGTTCAAAACAGCTTGTCACTCGATTGATACATAAATCCACGGATGTAGGATTGTGCTGCTGGGGTGCTGGAACAAATCTCCTACCTTGTACACTGAACCATTAGACAAACTGCACAGTAAACTAGTGCTCTGATCACATCTTGGAGCGGTAGATTTAAGTGGTTTACTGACACCTTTTTATTATGATCATATGTCAGAGCAAGATCACCTATAGTACATACAGCACAGACCTAAAGTGATTCCTGGATGCCACACACGCTGTGTGTATGTGTGTGAAACAGTCTGATGTCTGACAGGGGAATTGCATTACAGGCACCGCTCCAGCCGTACTCCCCTCTCCCTCTAATACTCTCCTGTCACTGTACTCCATCCATCAAAGACTCTCTCTCTACCTCTCATTCTGTCATTTATACACACACAAACACGTACACGCTGTCCTATTAATCTATGGTTTGCAGCCAGAGAGCAGTCAACATCCTTTATTAAATCATGTAACATGCACACATTACACAGCATAAAAACTGAAGCTCTGGATTAAGGATTAAATTGAATTATATTAAGTGAGTTTAAATCATTAATACATTCACACTGGAATGTTTAAACTACCCTCCTCTATTTCTGTCAAATGCTCTGCCCCATAATGGTAACAAATTAAGTGTATCTTCTTCTGTTTTATCTGGCATGACTGGCATTAACGTTAACTGACAGAAAAACGTGTGTTTTTCTCTGACACTGTGCTCATTTCGTACAAGGTTGGTTAGCCAGAGTGTGAAGAAAGGGAAGGAGAAGTGAGAAAGAAAAAAGGAGGCTAGCAGGTTTAGTATGTCCGCTGTGTCCTGGCCTAAATGGCCTTCTGTACACAGGGAGTTGAGACCTTGTTCTTCAGTGTGCATTACCCTTACACCAAGTATTAAAGTGAGGTGAATGTATAAAAACCCAAAACGAGCAGCTGGTCTCCATGGCCAGAACTTGCACCCAAGTGAGACTGATGCTGTCCTTGAATATTTTCTCTCTAATATTTCTCCTCCCTCTCTCTGTTTCTCTCTCTGACCTTCTGTTTATGCCCATGGTAACTCTAGAGGCATTATGGATACCAGGGGAGTGTGAAATTAGCTTGGCTGGTCAACAGCCCGCCCAACGGCAGACTCCAGCAAGTTCCTGTGGAACTCGCCATCACTTCCTCCTCAGTGCACGTGTGCAGTGCTGCCAGGGTTCAATAGCTAGGCCAGGCTTCAGCAGAAAGTTTACATGGAAACAATAGATATAACAGAACGATCAGGTCAGACTGGCTTATGAGACTAGATCATGGAGACTAGATCATGGAAGATAAACAGACAAATCACACAAAGAAAGCGTGGAAGTGTAAGTGCAGCAATCATTCCAGCTCATGTAGTTGACAATATAATAAGACATGACACTGGGTGATAATATGATAACATGGCAGAAGTTTATTTAGAGAAAAGCATATCTGCCTGTGTCATAAGAGGTTAATTGGCTACTTACCTTGACGTGCTGTCAATACAAAGGGGTAATTCATCATCGAGAGGACACTGTCTTTGACAGTGTCAGTGTAAGAAATTGTGATATTGAGTTGTGCACCTCAGGACCAAGTTATCAGTCTTGGTCTGGAAGAAAAGCTCTCAAGCTGTCAGAAAGACAAAAATTACTGAACAGAAGATAACAACTTTTATCTTTTCTATTTCCAGTATGTTGCTTTTGTTTCAGCAGAGAACACATAGTTCACATATAATCCAACTTCCTTTGCTGTTATTGTAACATTTGTACTTCACCAGGATTTATTGGGTAAAAACAATTATTGCATACCCTCTGATTTTGGTAAGAGATGGAGATTTGTCCGTGTGCACAGGTTCTGTTGAACCACACTGAGGCCATTGGTTGGACAAAATGTTTGAATGTCAAGATAAGCTTTGCTACGCTTTCTCTTTGAAGTGTGGGAGGAGATTTGGACACGGGACCAAATCTTCCTTTCAAATGAAGATTCAGTGACAAAACATTACCTAAAACGTGTTAAGTAAGATTGTTGTGGTAGCTGAACTAGTCTTCTCTGAGCAAGAAAATGTCATCATCATGATCCCGTCATGTGTTGTATAAGGGCAACATTATGGCCCAACATTGAGGTGTCCCGTTCCCTTCACCTTTTTAATTCTTTATTTGTTTGTTGCTGTTCTCCTCACCTCTTTCTCACCCCATATCCCTCCCTCTTTCTTGCATTAGTCACACCAGTGGCTGTTGGTGTGTAGATTATCCATGCCGTCTTAACACAGCCAAAGGGCTGAGGTACACAGAAAAGAAAAGAGGACAGGAATAGCGAGGAAGAGGAGGAGGAGGAAATAAAGAGTTGGATCTTCTTCTGTTGCACCTGTGGAGAATCTATATCAAGGAGTACACAGTGGTATTGGTCTGTGCACATGATAATCTCAGTTGATGCTGATAGGCTAATAACTAATCCAAGTGTCTTTTTATTCTTTCTCCAGTACAGTCATGTCGTGCAACATTGAGCAGGTATAAGTTTTACAGCAATAACATAAATAACTGATTAAATGAATTGATTCTTAGTGTTAATTAATCAGGGTGAGAATGCATCAAATTATGATGATGTGGGTTATAAATGGTCTCTTCTTAATATGGTGGCTGCCAGTAATTAAAGGCACAAAACCAAAACATGCCAGCACCTCAGGTACCTTAACACTCTTAAGCATCTTCTGCCACTCATTCCAGTCATATCGTGCTAGCGGGGGGATAACCATGGTAGCCTTGATTTCCTTCTCACCAGCCGCATTCTCAAGCTCCTCCTGGGGGATTTTGAGGGGTTCCAAGGCCAGATTGGATATGTAATCCCTTCACCGTGTTCTGTGTCTGCCCTGGGGTCTCCTTCAGTTTGATGTGCCCATGACGTTTTACTCTGAACTCCTTGCATATCTAAGCCCTTGAGCCCAAAGACCCTGCAAAGGAAACTAATTTACCCTCTTATATCCATGATCTCCTTCTTTCTGTCAGTTACTATAGCTCTTGACCATAGGTGACCACTGGAACGTAGATCATCTCAGAGCCCTGCCTTTAATCTTCACCATTACCATCTAATATGACACCTATATCACTGCAGGCGCCGTATCAATACACCTGTTAATCTCGGATTCAGACGTTGGCCATGGTGCTAAACATATATACCAATCAGCCATAACGTTATCACCACCTGGGCACCCTGGTGGTGATAATGTTTTGGAGATGCTCTGACCCAGTCGTCTAGCCATCAAAATTTGGCCGTTGTCAGAGTCGCTCAATCCATTTTTCCTGCTTCTAACACATCAACTTTGAGGACAAAATGTTCACTTGCTGCCTAACATATCCCACTCACTGACAGGTACCATGATAACAAGATTATAGTTACAAGATACAAGTATTATTCACTTCACATGTCAGTACTCAATGTTATGGCTGATCGGTGTAGATAAGCAGTGTACATGTTATCCAAGTGGTGTTTTGCTTGTTAAAAAGCTTAGAAGGAATTCCTACTAAGCTTTACACCATACACTTAAGTAGGTTTTGTGATTTGTAATATACTTTTATAATGCAGTAAATTAGGAGAACGTATGTATGTATGTATGTATGTGCACTTAGGAAAGTGTAGAGAAATTGTTTAGTGTAGGTCAAAAGTATGCCAAACCATATGAATGTTGTCAGTATGGGCAAAGCTACACGGTTCTCAAACTATGGTACATGTATCACTGGTAGTTTGCAAGCTTCCTTTAGCAGTACATGGAAGAGTCTCTGAAATATATTTTTTAAATGAAATGAATTAATTTAAAAAATATAGTACTGTCACAATACTTCAGAATTTTGAATGAAAATACCATGAGATTGCTGAAATGTAAATTAGCATAGGGTTGGCTTGCACTACGGTATTTAAACATTGGTCATAATGGTGGTACTTGGAGAGCATAATATTTTTGGAGGTGGTACACAGTGTAAAAAGTTTGAGAAAACATCCGGTCTTCCTCCCCTCTTCCTCAAACTGAGGTGGAGTTAAGGGTTATATGTTGATCACACCAATTGACCCTTTCTTCAAATTTAGCTAAATGGTGAAGTCTCTGTGAAGCACACGCTGTCCATGTATCAACAGGCCTTAATATTTTCTGCCCAATGAGCAGAGTCCACTTTCTACTTCCACCTTGATAATCATAAACACTCCCACGTCGGGCAAGAAAGAATGAGGGAGCATATATTCATTCAAGTGCAGCAAAGCAAGGACAGACTGATGATCATTAGGATGCAAAGTGTGATGCTGATTATGACTGTGTTTATAATGTGCTCATCTCACCTTAGAGAGCTGGGCTATTTGAGGAAAAAGCCATTTACCTGAGAAGGCAAGGCAGTCATGTGAGAAAATGCTACACTGAAGCTGCTTAGTTTAATAGCATCTGTGTAAATGACATTTAATGACATTTCCAGTTGCATCTTCAGAGTTATGTAAGCAGATTTTGACTTCTAAACTGAGGGTGCTAGACTTGAGCCATTCCGGTGTTAACCTGTCTTTAGTGGGCTTACTGATCCTAATCGAGCAGCTGATAGCTGGAATACCCAAATTATTGGCTTTAATACTTCTGATAATGGTCACTTATCTGTTATAATCTCAAATTTGGTCCAGTCTCGAAAACACAGATGAGGAGGTGAAAGGCACCAACACAAAATGTTAAAAACTTCAAAACCTCATCCACATTATTTGTTCTTGGTTTCTTTGTGCAGCTCACAAATTAAAGTATGAATACTTAATGTTAAAAATATACAGTTAATAGCCAATATAGAACCACATACTGTACACTATTTAGGATAAAATTTACATTTGCATATTATCCCTTTATTTGCATGAAGACTGAAACTATATTGGGAGCCAGTGTCACTGAGATCTGTGTTAACTGTTATTTCGTTCAGTAGCTGTAGTGCACTGTTTTTCCTTCAGTGAGATTACTTGAATGTGTGAATATAAAGAGAAAAATAGTCAGTTGGGACAAAAGGCAAATGATTTCTGCCAAATTTACTGTTACAGATATTCAAGTTCATATTATTGACTTATCAGTGCATTTGTTGGATAGATTTTCTTTGCTTTTATTGACAGTTGCCATCGTTACAGAGGCAGGGCTGGTGTCCTAGGAAACGATGGAGCTTTTGTAATAGACTGCATTAGAACTTTGTGTATGTGTGTGTATGTGTGTATGTGTGTACGTGTGTGTGTGCATGTAATGGATCCTACATCTGTATCTTGTAGAAGCCACTTATAATGAGGCACAGTGAAAGAGAGGAAGATACAGCGAAACAAAATAAGCAAGAGAACAAAAGCTGTTTGGTCAAATGCAGCACAGGTTTGCATATGAAAACTGTTAATTATGTCATCATACAAAATTCATCAAGTGAGTGGCATGTTTAAAATGTAAACACCAGGCATTAGATATGTAAATCTTTTGTTACTTATGGGAAACTTAATATACAGATCTAGGTAGAATACAATTTTATATTCTGTATCCAACAGTAAAAGATGAACAATGTAACAAAATAGGCATGAAACCAAAAATATCGACGCATACAACTTATGAAGGCAAGAACACTGCGTATTTGTCATCTCGCTCTTGACTGCAGATGAAAAATAAATTAGAAATCCTTTCTAGAAAGCTTCCTGGTCACTATAACAACAAAGAAGTTGCTTTTGGCTCTCATTTGGTCTAATTTCAAAGTGATTGTACATAGACTTCTGGTAGACTCTTCCAGTGAGCTGTAATATTGTATTATAGCCAGAGAGGATATGAAATGTATCTAAGATATTACCAATGGCAACTCATGGGTGGATTACAATACTAATGATTGCAATGACTATTTAGAGCTGAAAAACAAGTGTGGGTGAGAAATGGTAAAATCTTACTTTTGATAGAAGACATTTAACCATGTCAAATTTTAGGGTTCTGGATGTTTTTGAATTTCTGATATCTGACCTATGGTCATTCTAATGTTGTCGTTGTGTTTACCAATTTTAGCCTTATTCCGTTAAACGCAAACAGGTAATTAAAGCTGAGAAGAGAGCAGAAACCATCTCCGCCCCTCTCTTCTGTCTGACACATAGATAACACGTGTCAACTGAACCATCATCAGCTCAACGGCAGGGAGCATCTGGGGTCAAGCTGTGTATGTAACCTCACAGTGGGTTTATGGCGATGCAGAGGTGTGTGAGTGGAGGAGGCAGATTTGAGTCACTGAAATAGATATCCTTTAAGGGATTTAATGTTTTGGCTGTCTGTGTCACTTTGACATAGCCTCATATCCCTGCTTCCCCAGCCCTTCCCTCCTCTCCGCTGCCGGAGCTAAGACATTAAAATGCGGCAGCCATCCAGGCCCCTCAGTCCCTGCGGTAATTGTAAAGCCGTCAGCAAGCCGTTGTTTCGATGGGGAAGGGGACACAGAAAGAGAGGCTGTGTGAGATGGGAGAGCGAGAAAAGCAATAGAGAGCTGGCGAAAGAAAGAGACAAACAAGGCTTGAAATGAGGAAAGGGGTAGACAGAAGGATGGGAAAATGAAGAGGAAAGGGATCAGGAGACTGGAATCAGGTGTATGAAAAAATGAAAGCTATGAAGTGACTGAACGTGCTGTGGGAGGAACAGCAAGAGACTGAAAGAGGTTGAAAGGTGGATAGACAGGGATGAAGGGGTTTAGAGATTTCTAGTCTTTCAAGGAAATGTTGCAGAGAATAGCATCAAAGTCCCAGTTCAGGGCATAATCGGGTCACTTGTTACAGTGAATGAACAGTGTATTTGTTTGTGACATATCAATATATGTCAGATCACATAAATATGAGCATCTAATTTTATTAAATATTGTCATTAATGTCATTAATAATGTGTATTACATGTGTTTCTGATGTATGTCAAAATTACTCACAAAGCGGTGGCAAAGTAGTGATGAATGAAGACTAGGCGGAGCTCTGCCGCTGCTGTATTAGAATTCACCGCCAGAGAGGGATGGGAAGAGAGAGAGTGAAGATGCAATGCGAAGAAATGTTGAAGGAGAGGGATAACAGGGTGAAATGGAAGCAAGAGAATGAGAGAAAGAAGGAGGGGATTTAAGGCAAAGGGAAAGAGGGAGGAGCGACAATTAAACCAAATGGGCTGGAGCTTTTTGCCCCCCGCCCCACTGCACACAAGCACACACGCTCACACACGCACACACACACACACACACACACACACACACACATGCACATACTCTCACAGCCTGCCTCAGGGAGCCGTGGCGCATGCACGCTCGCAGGCAGACAGGCAGGAGGAGATCAATCGTGCTCTGGGACTAGTGTGTGTGTATATGAGTGTCAGCGATGTGTTAGCAACATGCTGGTGGAGGCGTATGCCATGCTAGTGGAGGTGCAATGTTAGCAGGAGTGGAGGGGGCTGTCTGTGTATGTGCCTGTGCGCACGGCTAGAATGCACACAGAGGGCTTGTGGTGTGCGAGTGTGAGCGAGCCGTCAAAGGGGAGGGGAGCTACGGAGCGCAGCAGCAGCAGCAGCAGCAGCAGCAGCAGTAGCAGCAGCATTGCCAGAGTGTGTGTGAGTGTGTGTGAGCGAGCGTGTGTGTGTGAGGGGTGGAGGGGAGAGGAGAGGCAGACACGGCAGGACTCCCGGGAGAAGAAGCGGGAGTCGGGGAACAGACCCAGCCTCTCTCCTCCACAGCAGGAGAGCCAGGACCCAAGGACGAGGCAGTATCTGTAGCCCAGCCTGGAGCAGTTGAGACTGTGGACACACGAGGGATCTCTGTCCCTCTCTGGAGGGGGGCTTCTACTGGAGCCCTAACTCAGGATGTGTCTGACTAAGGGGGTCTTCCTGACAGATCTGACAGACCCACACAGAGGAGGAAACAGTGCAGTCCATCTTACCATTTAACATTTCGGCTTCTACCTCGGTTAGGATGCGGGGGAGGGGGGAGAGATAGAGGGAGAGGGTGAAAGGGAGCAAGAAGGATATTGTCTGTGCTATTAAGGAAGGAAGAGAGGGAATAAGAAGAGGAGGAGGGGGAGAGAGTGGTTGGGAGGAGTGTACTCTCCTCTCATGACTCTCCCATGGAACACTGACTATTGACTGTTGAGCGGCAGGCACTGGGACTTGTTTATGAATCCCTCCCTGGCCACTGTAACAACCAGGGGGTGTCACCAAGTTACCGTCCCACTGACAACCATGTCGGTGACCACGGGCTTCAGCTACCAGCTCCCTGGAATCACCACAGTAACGTATGTGTTTGTTTACAGCCCCGGCTCAGTGCAAAGAGACCCAAGCCCTCCTCATCACACCCCTCCAGCGCTGACGGGCCCCCGTGGGCCCAAACGCAAACTCTACAGTGCTGTCCCAGGACGTACCTTCATCGTGGTGAAGCCCTACACGCCACAGGGGGAGGGAGAGATCCAACTCAACCGTGGAGAGAGAGTCAAAGGTAGGTTATCTACTATTACTTGTTACTACATGTTTTATTCCCTCACTTAACCTACAACTGTGACTACTACTTCTTGTCTCTACTGCTGTATTCTGTGTTTCATTGCATGCCAGCTCTCTGTCTCTACTAGTGATGTTTAAGGTCTCATGTAAAGTTCGTGGCAACATGTGGCCTTCATGACTGTCAGAGCTGGGTGTGTTAAAAGAAGAAGAAGCAGCCATTCATATGCTCAGATACAAAGCTCACCATTACTTCACTGTGTTTTTTGGCTGCAAAGTTATGTAATCTCTCAACCTGGAAGTCATTTCAGTGTCCTTTGAGCTTGACATTGTGAATTATCATTACATTCACTTTGTAAATGTGCTGTTTTCTGCTTTACACAGAGGTGCCGTGGCTTCGCTTTTATGTGTTTGTGTGTGTGCTTTTGTTTCCATCCATGCTTCACTCAAGACTATGACTGTAATGACGTAGAAGGTAAACTCCATAATATTCTTCTCACCCGGTATGCCTCCCATACACTTCAGTGTGTCAACCCTACACCTACAGTGTAGCAATTAGTTCCTGGTCCTGTTTGAATCCACTTGAGATATGTGTACAATCTCAGTATAAATCTGTGATTACTTCAAGGAGAAGGCATGCAAATTCAAACAGGTCCCGTGTGCTTTTGGTGTCCTTCCTCCTCTCTGAGAGTGCTTCCCCCTGAACGTACAACTGCTTTTCTCCCTCCTCTTATCACCTGTCCACAGACACCCAGCTCCACATTGACCCCACACCCTACATCCTGCCACTTCACATACATCACCATGGATCAAACCCACATTAGCTTAATGGAACCAGTTCCCTCATGTCCTCAGAAAGGCTGGAGAGAGAGTCACCGCACTCATGCTGAGACCTCTCATGTTCCTTTCAGATCTACAGAGGCACAGGAAGTACAGATTAAGGGTCAGTTTGGAATTCCAATTTGGATTTTAAGAAAAACACACACACACACACACACACACACACACACACACACACACACACACACACACACACACACACACACACACACACACAAACACTTGTATCTCTCTCCCTCATTTTAAAAATCAGTTAGTAACAAACACAAGTCATATATACCCACTGAAAAGACCCCTTCTATCTGCCTGCTTACTTACTGCAGTGTTCCCACCCCTGCCTAGATGTTTTCTGTCTTCCCCCTTCTCTGACCTTAAAAACCTTTTCCAGCAGACCTCCTCCTGAATGCTTTAATGCCTCTTCTTTAAAGTATGGTGTCTGTTTTATGGAAACACTGCTGTCATTTACACTGGAATTACTAAAACAGATGATAAACAATTTAGATTGAACAATTCACACTCATGCTTTTGCTGAACAAAACTGATTGATACAGCATTGTCTGTAACTGTGATGCATACTGATGTTGACACAAATGTTATCGGGAATGTGATGACTCAACAGCCTCCATCTACTGAATGAATCTGCTGTCACTGTTTTTTCTGTCGGTGCAGCTGAATCCATAACCTTGCCACTAATGTGAACACACAGTGTTTTGCTGTTCTTTCATGTTGGCCATGCAGGAAACAAGCTTACAGTCTTATGGCTGCCAGCACCATGGTCCAGCCAAGTAAACCATCTGGCTCTGTTATGCATCACTGACCATCATAACCATTACTGTGTTGCATTCACTATGCCTCTGTAGTCCTGGGATGTAAACTGAGAAATACATCATTGATGTCAACTGGCTGTTGAATAGCTTAGATCATAGGCTGTTCAGGTTCTATGTAACAGGTTTGTTTAGTGCAGTAGTCTTAGCATGCAATCCCAGCAGGGAATGACCACCCCTCCTGGTGCACAGATAGGCTAAGCTTCTGCCACTTCCTTTAGGGATGGATGACCCTTGGTTTGATACATAATGCATTTCATCTAATCTGCATTCATAAATGGATGAGTTGCTAATAGTGATAGGGCTCATTTGCAATGGAGGACAAGAGGAGGTAAGGCAAGTGAAAGAGAGGGGCAATGATAGGAGGATTTATTTCTTTACTTTTTTCTGTCTGATCCTTGTGATTAAGGTGAGAAACATAAAAAACTACATCTTCAGGGATGTTGATTAGCCCCAAGTCAAGACAAGTTTCCATGTATGTGTGTGTAAATGTGCATGTATGTAAAGTAAATATCCACAGCATTGTTTGTACCTTGAAGTTAACTCTGATAGTGCTTCAGACTACAAACATTTTGATGATTCAGTTCAAATTACATAATTAGCCTCTTCACCCCCCCCATCCACCAAACACACACACTCATACACACAGTCACTCATACAGTCATCTTTGTCTTCCTGTTAATGTCCTCACACTGGCCGTATCAGAGGAGCATCTTTATGATGAGATTATGCTGGGTAAATCTCACTAAATGATTTGTATAGCTGGCAGATTGTGTGTTCGTGTTTATGTATGTGTAACGTGTGTTAGCATTAATGCTTACATATGTAAGCATTAGCATAACTGTCTATTAGCTCACCTGTTAGTAAGACAGATTGGTGGCCTGTTGAGGCAAGGAATATTATATGTCGTACAGAGAAAGATGTGTCCCACTGTGCAGTTTAATGGAGATCATTGATTTTGGCCTAATGGGAAACACACTGTAGTTCTCAGCAGTAGACTGTAGCACATTCCCGGTCAAGTGTGTTTATAGTGAAGGTTTTTTTTTTTTTTAAATATAAGACTCTTAAGAAGTGTATATTAACAATTGAACGATTTGATAATTTCTTTTCTACTTTTTTGTAGAGAAGGATGAGGATCTGGACTCTGATGGTAAATATAGTAGAGCAGTTTAGCTATACTTTCCATAGCATTTTGTTTAATGTAAAACCCACAGCTGAACTAACTGGTTCTAGATTGTCATGTCACTTAACTAGGACATGTGTTTTTCAGATGAAAGCCTTGATGTTGTGATTAGTAGTTGTTTATTCGATGCAAGATGTGAATCCTAATTTAAATGGGGAAAGTTTCATCATTTAATGAGAGCAAGCAGTTTAGCCAGCTTCATTCTGCAACTGAAGCGTGCTTTCAAATTCTAAACCCCATTTTTGGTCAACTTGAGGGGTCTTCCTCGATTATTTACTGCTTTCTTACACAGCATGACAATTTTATGGCATTGCACATTAACTAACTAAAATTCAAAACTACTGTTATGCCCTGTTAAAGTTCCCCATAAAAGTTAATGTGCACCAGAAATGGGCAGTATTTAATTCATGTTGTAGCTAGCACTATGAAAGTATACCACACCATATCAAGATTTTTGAGGGCAGCATTCTGCTCAGAGGTGACATTGAACCTCATTCATACATGTTTTTGCTGTTATGGTTATAATATGTTTTAAATGATTCATAAAAACGGAATACTCAGAATTACATAATGGCTGATAAACTAGATAATTTACCAACACATAACATAATACAAACACCAAAAACTGCTCTTTGTCTCTGGAGATCTGGAGATTAAAAAACGTACACATCCAACCCTCTGCGTTCTCCAAGGTTGACTTGCTGACTGAGTAGTGCTTGTTTTATGATTTTGTCTCTACTTCCATATACCAGTAACATTGCTACAGTAGTGTATGTTGTGGTAGGCTAGTAGTCAAATCTTAACTGTAGATGGCAAATATATATGTTTATGTTTGAGCATTGTGGTTTTAGTAATTTATTTGCCATATATAGTATTGAAATATATACATTATAACAAACACATTTTCACTACTCTTTGATCAGTTATGTGCTAATTCATGTGCATTATAGCTGACATGCCACATGATGAAGACAATGATGATTATTCCAGTGGGATTAATGATGACGATGAACATCAAGGTAAAATTAATATTTTTATTTTTTATTTTTAAAGAAGGATGACAGTGGTGGAAAGCTGCAAATCATTAGTAGACACAATTATTAACCATTCCCATTACCATCAAATGATGTGAATCTTCTGTTCTACTGTATATAGTGACCTCAATGAATCTTCAGGCTTATTTTCAAGGTCACAATTTTGATTTTGAGCCTATTGAGAAAAAAGAATCTGTGAGATTGATAATGTGTTTGTGGAAGGAAGAGTCTCAGAATGGCACGTAATTCCACATTTTCATCCTTCATTTTCACATAGACTAGCACCAATATATGCACATATAACCCCCAAGCAGTAGATGAGCCTAAAAGGGACAGTTCACCCCAAAATCTAAAATATATATTTTTCCTTTTACCTGTAGTGCTATTTATCCATCTGTATTGTTTTGGTGTGAGTTACTGAGTTTTGCAGATATCAACCATAAAGATGTCTCTCAAATATGATGGAACTCCGTCCGGCTTGGGAAAAAAATGCTTGAAAAACTCACTACCCACAATTATCCACAGACCTTGTTGTGAGCAGTGCAGGATCAATTTTATTTTTTCAACCAAACTACACCTGCCAACCATAGCTGAACGTTAGCTATCACAGTGGTGCTGGGTGAGTAAGGTAATTTTACAGCACAGCCGAGGAGCTAGCAATGCCACAGTATATCATGAGACTCCAATCAGTGAGATGAAAATTAAATTCTGATTGTTTAAACAATAGAGGGCGCTATCTACTTTTGACTTTACTTGTCCGACGTCCTATTTTACTTGCATCAGTAGCTGTATCAAGGCGCAAAGACATGGTGGCCGCAGGTGAAGACTTAAGGATGCACCATCCTGTTTAAAATCGGAGGTGTGGCAGCTGAGTAAGAAAATGAAAAAGGTAAGAACATAACAGAAAAGACATGGCAAGAGATATCAGGCCATTTTCCATAGTTGAGTTATATCTTCAGTTTCACTTACAAAGAATAGAAAAATATTATAATATATCCTACCCCAGAAATAATAAGGGATTCTTTAATTTGAAAATATCCTAAAAATATATATTTTCTCTGAGAAATCAAGGGATCTTTTTCAGTCATAATCTCATTTTGGAAAAAAATATCATGCGAAAGAAAGTAAACCCAGTACCGTGAATTGTATTATATCATGAGTTGAGTGTATTGTTATATTCCTACAGGACTCCATTAATGTTTACATCCTGCACTGGCAGGAGCATGAGCCTCTCATCCGTGAGTAGATGCTCATTTCCGTCTATATGGTGATAAAGTTGGCTGGTGTGTCGTAGAAAGCAAATAATCATAAGTCACAACAACGTCTGTCATCTGTTTTTTTTTCCCCCTTTGAAAAACACAACCCCGGGGCCATTGTGTTCCATCTTTTTCGAGAGAAGGCAGACATCTCTATAGTGGATATCTCAAAAATTCTGCGACACCCAATCTAGTTGGATAAAGAGCACTACACAGTAAGGTGAACTGTTCCTTTAAATGTGTGCTTAGTTTCAGTGACTCAATCAAATAGTCCCCATGAGCCATGTGTTTTATCTAACCAGTCTCTCCTCCATTTTGAAGAATTACTTGGGAAAAAGTCCCAGCCCTAAACTCAGTGATTGTCAGTCCATTGGTCTGCTGTCTGAGATCAATGTCTCTAGACAGCCTTCGTCTAGACAAACAGCCCCGCTGTCCGCCATTTAGCGGGGTCATCCACATCCAGCTCTCCAAGCAGGCTGTTAGTCTCAAGTAATGAGATCTGTTTGTCCTTCCTCACTCACTGACTGCCGCTGGACCACAAAACTAGCATGCACTTGGTATCATGGGGTGTTAGAGGGTGGGTGTCGGTGTGTGTGTGTGTGTATGTGTGTGTGTGCGCGCGCGAGTGCGTGCACTGATGTCGGTGATGGAGGTTCAAAGAAATGGATGCTTCCAAGACGATCAGATTATCAGATTATAATCAGCGTGTGTGTCTGTGTCTGTTTGTGTGTTTGATGATCCCTTTGGTATACTCCATTAACAGGTTGCCTGGGCCCATCCCCCTACCCTCTTGCATTCCCTCTCTATACTCATTCCACTGCTCACCCCTGTGTTTGTTTCTGCTCTTCCCCTTCATTGATGTAATCTGATCTCATCATCCGGATGGACATCTCTTGAAAGGCCACTTACTATCACCATGGTAACGAACAGGGACACATGCCACCGTAACCTGGTCAAGCTTTTTGCACACTTCTGGGCCAGTACACACAGCACACTTGCACATACAAACACATGGCAGGGGTAAAGGTACTACACAGGAGCACAAAAACATATTCAAAGGAACAGATGTGAGTATCAACATGCTGCCAGCCTCCCTCCGGGAGCATGGACTGAGTACTCAGGACATTCTTCTCCTCAACAAGGTGACACATTTAAGAGCATGCTTCCGTAACAATGTATTACATCTCTCACACACACACACACACACACACACACACACACACACACACACGCCACATACACCTTCTCCAAACGCCATTATAAATCTTGCAGACAGCCATGAAAATGAAACCAGCGCAAGTAACGTTGAGATTAGACATTCACAAACATGATTAATGGGGTTTGGCCGCACCCAGTGTGTGCAGAATATTAACACTGCAATGGGCAGTGGAGGATACCTGGACTAGTTACACACACACACACACACACCACACACATATTCTGGGTTTTAATAGATTATTCCAAGTCTAGCTTCACACAGCCTCAGAAAGCCTCAGTTATTACTGCTGTTATGATCTTTGAGAACGCACACGGTAGCTCAGCCATTTAGTAATGCTGGCACACTGATCCCCTGTCACAGAACTGCAAAAGCTTTTTGTCGAATCCATTGTTTGAAAGTATGCTTCTCCTCGTATACTTTATTATCTCCAACAACAGCTAGACACATGCATTGATGTGCATGTGTGTTTTCAACAAGGCCAAAAGCCAGTAGATTATACAAATGAAACTGTGTACAATGCATTATATTTGGACCACACAAGCTTGGTATTGTTAAGACTAAAATGCATATGCATTTGCCCGTTACCAAGCAACAGGTGCTTAGTGCATTACAGCTCTGATATGTCATTTTAAGACCGAAGTAAAAATGATGCCTTTAGTGAGTTTCAAAAAATCCGGTTGATTCTGAGAAAAATAAATCTTTTACCTGCATACTCTTTTTAGGAATATTCTTCCATTTTCTCTTATAATGTTCTGCTTGCAAATCAGGTTGAATGAGAACCTGTGTGCTAATCTTAAATTTAGGCTAAATATCATTGTTAGCTAGTTAGCAGTGAGCTTAGGTTGAATTAATTAGGCTTCCTCTATGTCTGGTAGTTGCATGAAGTGCACATCACACGTGTGTATGGGTGGATATTTCTGTACATGTGCAAGTATGAGAATCTCTCCATTGCTGTTTGTCATCAGGAAGTGTGTGTGCGTGTGGTGTGCACGTGTGTAAGTGTGCAAGTGTATGTCTGCCTGTGTGTTTGCCTTTGTGTGTGTTTGTCTTTGTGCAGCACAGTGTAAGTAATTGCCTCCCACAACTTAGATAAACAGCATCTTTCAAGTATTCAGCAACCAGCTGTCCTAATATCCGAGGCACATATGGAAGAAATGTCTCTCTCCTCGTCTTTCGCTGCCCTCGTTCTCTCTGTCTGTCTTTTCGTCTTTCTATCTCTCATATACCGATGCACTCATATCTGTACATACACACTATACATGTATTTTTTATCTATGAGTAGCAGATGTGCTTCACTGTACAGTGTGGCTTTTTTTTTTTGCAGTTCTGCAATAGTTTCTGTGTGTCCTCAATTCATTTACTAGCACCCCATTAACACAGTGTGATACCTCTTTTACATCACTTATACAACCTTTTAGCTCACAATAGTGTATTTAATGCACAGTACAGTACAGTATGACAACTCAAGTGTACTTTTTGTGTAAACCAGATTTCTACTGGTTAAGAGGTTGTAGCACAGAGTGGCCTCTTTAATGTGATTTTAATGATGGCACTATTAAGCCACAAAAATAATGGAGATTGATATCAGGTTTGACTGATTAACTTAGTAGGATTTACTTAATATAAGTTTTTAGTATGTCATGCAAGAAGTAGTACTGCTGATGTGGTTTCGATGATGATCACATCCTTTTATAAGTACAGTATCCTATCAGATAATTACTTTTTCAGATCTCAGAAAGTAATTTTTAAGATATATGGATTACAAAGGCAAGGGTGATGTTATCACTTGAGATAATAAAAGAATGACCAGAATATAGCGTCACTCAGTCCCTGTGATTACCAAGGTATTTTTTCAAATACTGGACAGGACAAGTGAATGTGCACTGCGTTCCTAAAATAACTTTCCTTGAGGCTAAAATAATGATCAAACCCTTTTTACACACATTCTGACGTTTGTGAGCTGTTTCCCAAAAGCATACTTACTGATTACAAGTTCTTAGCATCAACATACTGCATCCCATAAGGCACATTTTTCACTCTTCTTGGATATGAACCATAGATGTGAAAAGTAAAAAAAATAATGTATTAGACTTAAAAAGCACAAACATATTTCTTTCTGTTGATATGTTCTCATGCCTCTCGCCAAACTCCACAAGGAAAGCCTGAGAGACCACAAAGATGTTTGATAGTGTAAGGGTTTAGAGTGTGTGTCCCATGTTCCCCAGGAGAAATTATAACGTTATCACAATATAGACCTGAGGCCAGTCCGTTTATTAACAGATTTCACTCGTTGGTCATTCATAATGTTCCAAGCTGTGTGTATTATTGATATTGGACAGGGTCACAGGCCTAAGGCAAGGACGTAGATGTCACAGCTAACTTTCTAGCTGTCCAATCAGAGTAGCAGCAGGGTGCAAAGTCCCGCCCACACACCTACCTGCTCCCTGCTGAACACACCACCTGTCCTCCTATTACACTCTCATCCTCTTTGTTGTTTTCATTTTTTGTGT